AGAATCGTCCATACTGTTTTCCAGAAGGGCTGAACCAGTGGACATTCCCACCAACAGTGAAGGAGTGTCCCTTTCTTGCCACATCCACGCCAGCATCGGTTGCTTTTGTTCTTTTGAATGTGGGCCAGTCTCTGAGGTGTGAGATGGTATCTCATTGTGGTTTTGATCTGCATCTCCAGGATGATTAATGATGTAGAGCATTTTCTCATGTGCTTTTTTGCCATTCGGATTTCTTCTTTGAGAAAGTTTCTGTTCATTTCATTGCCCTAATTAATTTTTTTTTTAAAAAAGCAGTCTATATTTAATAAAAATAAATACTGTATAGGTGCTTTTCTCAGATAAATTCTTCTAAAAAGGTAGAAAAAGTAACATAAAATAGATCAATCTACATAATTTATGAAACAGTGTCATCTTTTTTGAGTACAATAAAGACAAATCTGACAGAAGACTGAGAAACCAGAGCTTGTAAAGCTTAAGGGAGAGCTGTTTTGTCTTTATTATGTTGAGGTGCATCTCTCCATCTCTGTGAAGTTGAGCATTTTTACCATAAATGGATATTGGCTTCTGTGTAATTCTATTTCTTTGAAATGATCATTTGATTATAGTCCTTTTGTTGATGCGATATGATTGATTAATTGATTTGCATATATTTAAACATTTTTTCATTCCATGATAAATTTCACTTGATTATAGTCGATAATTCTTTTTAACATAGTACTAATTTTAATCTGCTAATATTGTCTCTTGAATTTTTTGCATCTGTGTTCACCAGAATTATTGGCCTGTAATTTTCTTTTTACCTCATATCCTTGTCTAGTTATGCTATGGGATAATGAGGGACTTGTAAAATTATTTTGGAAGAGTTCCCTGCTCTTCTATTTTTTAAAAATTTTTATTTTAGGCACTGCAATTTACAATATTGATAATGACAGGGTTTCATGCTTAACGACATTTTAACAGTATTCTTACCATCAGAAAGTCAGCTTGCCTTTACCACTGTCCCAGTGGCATCCACTTCTACACCCCAAACCCTCTGTCTCCACACAGTTCTCTGCTTCTTACTAAAAACCAGCTACAGTTAACATTGTACTGAATGATAGGAAACTAAAATGTTTCTTCTTATATGGGAATTGGAATGAATAAGGTGCTTGTCTTGCATGTAGCTGTCCCATTTTGATCCCCAGCACTCTATAAGGTCTCCTGGTACCTTTCCGGTGTGATCCCATTCAAGTTGTTATCCCCAAGCTATATACAATATATGTACTTAACATATGTATTGTATGTTAGACAATAACATATTATAATATGTTAGAACATAATTATATAAAAAGTTTTGTGGTGATGTCCTCTTATGATTTAAATGTACATATATACTATTATGTTACATAGCATATGATACATTGATTTGATTAAAGGATATATTCTTTCTGGGGAGGTCAAGGAGGACCACACTAGGTGGTCTTCAGGGGTTACTCTTGGTTCTGTGTTCAGGGATCACACCTATTGTATGCAGGAGTGCTATCTACTATATTAGTTCTCCAGAGTGTTAAAATAATGTATTTATACTTTATGTATATCATATAATTGTACATTGTATATATTTATCATATATAATATATAATATTTTATGATATACACAATATAATACAATTGATGAGCTGGAGCGATAGCACAGTGGTAGGGCATTCACCTTGCAAGTGGCCAACATAGCCGATCCAAGTTCGATTCCTCCGCCCCTCTCGGAGAGCCCGGCAAGCTACCTAGAGTATCTCACCCGCATGGCAAAGCCTGGCAAGCTACCCGTGATGTATTCGATATGCCAAACACAGTAACAATTGTCACAATGGAGACGTTACTTGGCCTGCTCAAGCAAATCGATGAACAATGGGAGGACAGTGACAGTGATAGTAATATAATTGATAATAAATTATATCATGTGTTATGGCATATTATAATGTTATATAATATAATACCTATGTGTATGTATGTACATTATATATTATATACATATAGTTTGGGGATCACAATTGAATGAAATCATTCCTTGAGGTACCAGGAGACCTTATAGAGTGGCAGGGATCAAACTGGGCCAGCTGTGTGCAAGGCAAGCACCTTGTTCACTATATTATCACTCCAACTCCCATATAAGGAGAAACATTTTAAGTTTCATATCATTCAGTAGGGTGTTTGCCTTGCGCATGGTCAGCCCAGCCAAGTCAGTTTTGATTCCTCCGCCACTCTTGGAGAGTCCTGCAAGCTACCAGAGTACCTCGCCCACATGGCAAAACTTGGCAAGCTACCCGTGACGTATTCAACATGCCAAACACAGTAACAACAAGTCTCAAAATGGAGATGTTACTGGGCCCGCTTGAGAAAATCGATGAACAACAGCAGGACAGTGGCAGTGACAGTGGCATCATCCAGTACGATGTTAGCTATAGCTGGTCTTTAATAAGAAGCATAGAACTGTGTCAGAGGACAGAGGTTTTGGGGTGCAGAAGTGGACGGCACTGAGACAGAAGCTGACGTATTTTTAAATTATTATTAAGTAGTGCTGATGAATGTTCAGAACAAATGGAATAATCATTTTTTGATAGAGGTAATGAAAAATAGCACTGTCAGTTTGGAAAGTGTGTCAGTTTCTTATCAAGGTAAATGCATTGACAGGCCTCCCTAGGATATTCAGCCAAGAGAATCACAAATGTAACTACACAAAATCCCCATTTTTGAATATTTAAAGCAATTGTATTCATGGTGGCTGCTTTCATTCGGGGAGCCCCAGACTGGGGCAGGTGAGCACCCTCCCCACCCCAAGGGACCCAGCCCCAGCAGTTGACCTCCACTATCCAGCAATCGATCTCCACTACCCAATTGCCACCATGCTCCAGGCCGCTTTTCGGACCTGGAGCATGCAACACATCATAAGACACTTCCTACCTATTTTCCATAATTACCACATCATATTTGATGGGGTTCAGATATTTGGTAACTATATATATATATATATATATATATATATATATATATCTCACTGACACTGTCCTCCAGTTGTTCATCAATTTGCTCGAGCGGATATATATATATATATATGTGTATATATATATATACACACACACATATATATATATATATATATGAGCCCAGCAAGCTACTGATAGTTTCCCACCCACACAGGCTGAGCCTGGCAAGCTACCCGTGGCGTATTCGATATGCCAAAAACAGTAATGATAGATCTCATTTCCCTGACCCTGAAAAAACCTCCAATGTCCATAAAATTTTGAATGAGTAAACAAAACATACCTTGAGATCCTACTCAACAATAAAATTAAATGAAATATGCAACATTAATGTATCAACATCATCATATTGAATGAAAGAAGCCACTGTCTACTCTTACATAGTACAGGCTTGTGTTTACATAATATTGACAGAGAAGTGTTTATCACTTTTGCTTTTTAAAGTACTGGGGATAAACCCAAGTTTTTGCAAACCCAAGTCTGCAAACATAAAAGAATACTTCTGAGCTATACCTTCAACCTTAGAACAGAAAACAGTTTGGAGGTTGCCAGGGACAGTGGTTGACAAAAGAGTGAGAAGTTGGGGATTCACACAAAGCACAAAGAACAAATTTAAAGTATTAGAAATTCTCTAAATTTGTGGTCATACAAATAAATATATTTTTTTCAAAATTAATGAAGCTATAAACAATGAGGATAAATTTATGTAAATTATGCTTCAGTAGGCATAACTAAAGAATAAGTACAATAGAGTAACTAATAAGTTTTATATATATACATGTATATTATATACATATTTATGCACATATATATGTATATGTGTGTACAGGACCTTGTTATATATGCACATTCTATCCAGATAATATGTGCCTTCTCTAATATATATGTCTTCAAAATTTATCTCTGGATTCAGTAGAAATTCTGGGACCTCTCTTCCCAGAATAAATGAGAAGTCTTTCACAGTTGAAGTCCAAAAAATAGAACTCTGCCCACATTCTAAACACCAGAGGATCAGGCACTGCCAAGGAACAGCTGAATCTGAACCAAATGATGTAATATCACTGAGATGATCATAGCCTCCCTTTGTAACCTTGGAAATCTAGGCTTGAACTCTAAATGTGCTTATGCTCTAGGTCCCTAAGATGTTCTCACATTTGTTTTTTGGATGACATCCTTGAGAATTTCTACTTCTGTTATTTCCTTTCAGCTATCTGAAAATTCCCCACCGGTCAACAGTGATTCTGTGAAAGAGAACTCTGGTTCTAGTTTGGGTTCCTGTCTTTCAAGCACTCTCTGCTGGGTTTCCTAGCCTAATAAACCCGAGTCCTTCCAACTTGCATAGCATGCCATTTTTCCTTTGGCTGGCTTATGGTGAGAATTTCTGTAATAGAAATAAAATGTAGGCATTTATTTTATGTGTTTTGGGGAGTGCAGGAAGACAGGTTCAGGAAGTCACTGAGTTCATGTTCTGAGCTGACTGCATGAGGTCAGGTTTTTAGTCACAGAGAAAAAGTGTGATAATTCTCACCGAGTAAGGTATGCATATAGGGGTTGGAAACTCATCAAGTTCCCATTGGTGGATAGATGTAAATTATGCTTAAAGTCAGTTGCATTTTTACTGCTCCAAAAAGCACTCTAACCAGATGAAGTTAGTTAAGCAATAATTGGAGTAGTTTTTTTTTTCTTTTTTGGTCACACTCAGTGATGGACAGGGGTTACTCCATGCTCTGTACTCAGGAATTACTCCTGGCAGTGCTTGGGGGACCACATGGGATGCCGGAGATCAAACACGGATGGGCCATGTGCAAAGCAACTGCCCTACCTGCTGTACTATCGCTCTGGCCCCTAATTGGTCTAGTTTCAAATTGAGTGTCTATTTGAGCTGACTTTCCTTTTCTTCCTCCCCAGAAGTATCTGAGCATACCTGGGTATGACTGGAAGTACAGGAACCCCTATCCCTGAGAGGCCTCTCTAGTATTTTAGTTATTCAAACTCAAATTCACGAATTTTCGTGTCATCCTTGCGCAGGGGCCATGCTAATCTTCTCTGTATTGTTCCAATTTTAGTATATGTGCTGCCACTGGAGCGATAGCACAGCGGTAGGGTGTTCGCCTTGCACACAGCCAACATGACCAACCCGAGTTCGATTCCTCCGCCCCTCTCAGAGAGCCCGACAAGCTACCGAGAGTATCTCGCCCGCATGGCAGAGCCTGGCAAGCTACCCGTGATGTATTCGAAATGCCAAAAACAGTAACAAAAAAGTCTACAATGGAGATGTTACTGGGCCTGCTCGAGCAAATTGATGAACAACAGGAGGACAGTGATTGATTGAGAGAAACTCAAATTAATTTAAACCATTCACTTTCCTGAATAGACACCTAGGTCTAGTGTCAATTCTTATTTTCATTGACAGGTCCCAGATGCAATTCAAACTGATCATAGTCAAAACTGAAATCATAATTTATTTTGGTTTGGGGGCCACACCTAGTTTTTACTTCTGGCACCGTGCTCAAGGATCACTGGTTCTGAGGCTCTGGAGAATTACACATGGTGCCAAAAATCAAACCTGAGTCAGCAGCATGTGAGGCAAGCACCTTACTCACTGAACTCTATCTCAGGGCCCAGAGATAATAATTTTTATTTGTTAGGGGGAACAACCAGTGGGATTTAGGACTTACTACTGGCTCCATGCTCATGCATCACTCCTGGCAATGTTTAGAGGACCATTTGCGGTGCATGGGACCAATCCAGGTTGGCTTCATGCAAGGCAAGCACCCGACCCTCTGTACTATTATTGTGCCCTATGAAATCATTTCTATTGCTTCTTCCTCTTATTACTTATCCTTCCTTTGTTTCTTTGGGGGGGGCATGGAGTGGGAGTTGTAGGTGGTTAATATCCATACTTGGCAGTGATCAGAGGCTACTTCTACTCCTGGAACTCTGTAATCAGAGAACTATTTGCAGTGACAGGAATTGAACCAGAGTCAACATGCAAAGCATGTGTCCTACCTCCTATACTATGTCTTTGGCCCCATACCTATCTTATGTTCCTTAACTTAGGTATTAAGATGAATTGGAGCCAGAATTCTAGATACTGTGCATGTTATCTTTTTCTCTCTTTTCCTAAATTTAATCAGACCTAACCTGTACATAGCAAATATTATAACTTGAGCATATGTTTCTGAATGAATGAATTATTGTGCTCTTGTGTCTATAATAAAGGTTTGAATTACATTAAAGAAACCATATGCCTCTCGATAAACATCTAGGAGTATTTGCTTTCAGCAGCTTTGCTTATAGAAGAAACCAGTGTAAAATAGGGGCAAAAATATGGGAGGCGGGTCAAAACTGCTCTGCTTTTGAGATGTGCGTGTTTAATATTTTTAGAGAAAGAGAATAGATTTAGGCAAAAGTGTCACAATCTCTTTGCTCATCTTCTTGGTTTCATACTGTACCACCTAGATCTTTTGAATAATTCCTATATCTGTATCCAATTACAAATTCATAACTGCCTTGTTCTCTTACAGACACCACATTTCTCTATACTTTATGCCTGGATTTTCTAAATCAATTAAGTCTATTGAATTTAGCTAAATGAGTCACAAACAAAACTCAGAAGACCACTTTAACAAAGACATACTGCTGCTTTCACTCCCAATGAATATTTAGTAGTATCTATAATTTCTCAATTTGAAAGCTTATTTGATTTATTGGTTAAGTCTGTAAATAGAATAAAATTGATTGGTCTTGAAATATTACCCACTCTTATCTGAGTAAAGAAAAATATAGTCAACTGAAAACAGTGGATTTTTGATATCTGTTCTGGTCATCCAAAAATAAAATTTAAATAACAGTCTTAGAGGACTGTGACAAGCCTTCCATCATCACAGTTTCTGTAGAGAACAGACTGCAGCTGGAAGCTGAGCTGAACAGGAACTGCTGGTGACTTGTTTTCACAAACCCAAGATAGGTGATGGCTAATAGGTAGAAGTCTGGAAACAAAACACTGTCTTTTGAACAAAATAGTTGTGGGACTTGAGGATAGTTTAGTGCCTCTTTTGCTTCACAAATACACCAAGTTTCCCAGAAGCACTGGCCAATAAAACTGACAGATCGAGGAAGGTCAAACACAAAAGAACTAATAGGGTCTCAAGGGAAGAGCAGAGCAGTTGGTGGTTATTACCACTCAAGCCTTGACTCGGAGGTATGTAAAAATAAAACCAGGGCTCTTTCTACAGGTACAATCAATCAACTTGCTATGCTACTTTTTGTTGCTGCATTTCTTGGAGATTAAAATTGAGTTTAATGTATGATCATTGCTTTAAACTTTTTAAAGAAAAAGCCATACAAATATTGTCTCAGGAGAGAGATTCATCATTTTAATTGTTGGTTTTTAATTTTTAAAATAACCATTGTACAAATAAAGGAATTTTTGAAACTAATTTATATAATCAGGTTATATTATCATTCTCATTAATTTTGTTTGTGGAGTTGGGCATTGAACTTGTGTTACACACACAAGGCAAGTATACTACCGCTGAGCTCCACAACTTGCATATCACATTATTATTTAATTGCAGATTATTATGAATATGTACAGTTTTTTGACATTGAAAAATAATAAATTTGGGGGAAGTGCATTTTTCGATCATTAAAGGGTTAATAGCTTAATATTCTTTAGTGAGTATTACTCATATTCTAATTAAATAAAAAGTAGTAACTGGGAAGTATCCAGAAGAATAAACACCAACTAAAGTGATGCAGTAACATAGAGAGCTTAAAAACCAAAGTATACACAGAATTTATTGATCACCTATTATCACTGACCATCACTGTCACTGTCATTGTCCTCCCGTTGTTCATCAATTTTCTCAAGTGGGCCCAGTCACATCTCCATTGTGAGACTTTGTTCTTACTGTGTTGGCATATCAAATACGTCACGGGTAGCTTGCAAGGCTCTGCCTTGGGAGCGAGATACTCGCGGTAGCTTGCCGGGCTCTCTGACAGGGGCAGAGAAATCAAATTCGGGTCAGCCATATTGGCCGTTTGCAAGGTAAACACCCTACTGCTCTGCTATCACTCTAGCGCATCAATAACCATATAAATATCAAAATATAAGTAAATTTAACTACTTCATGTATTCCTAAAATGTGTTAATATTCAGAATCCAGTTGATAATTAGTGTATCTAGCTGATTATACTGTTGTTTATGTTATGTTCACAATAATATTATTATTAAAAATTATTTTCAAAAAGTATTATAGCTAAAAATCTCATCAGATGACATGAATACACTATTAAACTAACTTTAAATTAAAAAGTCTAGAATGCTTTGTATACTTTTTTCAGCAATTCCCAGATAACTACCTAAAACTAATATAATCCTCTATTTAAAAAAAACACAACAATATTGTCATTAGGTAATTTTCCTATGACTTTCTATATATTCTACAAATCAAATATATTTTCCAAATGTGCCAGCAGCAGCAATTATGCCATGCTTGCTCCTCAGTGCACGATAACTTTACTCGAGCGGACCCAGTAACGTCTCCATTGGAGACTTTGTTGTTACTGTGTCTGGCATATCCAATACTCTCGGTAGCTTGCCGGGCTCTCCGAGAGGGGCGGAGGAATTGAACTTGGGTCGGCCATGTTGGCTGCGTGCAAGGCAAACGCCCTACCCGCTGTGCTATCGTTCCAGCCTGATAACTTTAAAATAATATAAATCAAAACATATATCCAGATGCCAGGACAAATGAATATAATGCCCCAAGAAATATAACTAGTGAAAGGTAGATTCAGGATTAAAACAGTAAGACCATCAGACAAATTAAACTACACTCTTAACAAGTTGTGTGTGTGTTGGAGGTGTTAGAATGTCTTTTGCTACACTTTATTATGCTTAGGACTCATTATTGACCATGTGCTCTCAGATCATTTTTGGGAGTACTTGATAACCCAGGTGACTTCATGCAAAGCAACGAGCTTACCTGTTTTGCTATCTCTCCAGTCATACAAATTTTAAATAAATCTATTCAAATATACACTATTCTGGGGCAGGCGGCGGGGGGGGGGGGGGGGGCGTGGCATAAAATGCCCTATGTCTCCTTTTCTTGCTACTATCTTTAAACCTCCTGGGGCCTTGAACTAAAGTTTCCAATCATGTCAAATCACATATATATATGTATGTATATATACATATATATATATTTCCATGCTTTTGACAATTATATTGGGGTATTGCTTGATACTACTATAACTAATAGAAAAATTAAATAATTCTAGAAGAGTTTTATGTACCAATCTTTCTTGAAAGTTGAAAACATGTGCAGGATCACAAACTATGGAAAAAATCTTCACATCATGGTTTCTGAGGTTGCTTCATTTTAGAAATTAAAAACGAAAAGTTATAGTCAGTAGGTTCACATTTCTTTAGGAATCCATTAATGAGTAAATGGATCTTGCAATCATTTACTCTGAATAAAAATTAAAACTTTTAACCTTGATGGAATCACCCTTGCAAAGAAGTGATGTTGAAATTACATTGAAAGCTATTGCTCAGTGAAGACTGCTTGCCCAAAGCAAAGTTAAAGGTGCCAGAAATGTTGTAGAGAACTGAATGCCCTACTTTTGCGTTGGTTCAGCCTGATTTGATTCTTGGCATCACATATCGTCCCCTGAGAACCACCAGTAGTGACCCTACTGCATAGAGTCTGAAATAGTCTCCCAGAACTGTAAGGAATGGCCAGAAGTAGCTCACCCACAAAAAGTAAAATTAGAAAATCAATTGACACTTTTGATTTGACTAAATACTATTTTATCTTTGAATTGAAGTGGTGATTCCTTCTGTAATTGATTGCTAATGATGATTTTGTGAAGTATATATTATTACCAAAGAACGTTATTTTAAAGGTGATCACTAAAGATCTAAAATACATGGGGCAGAGATAGTACAATGAGTAGGTACCTGGTCTGCACGTGGTTGACCAGGATTTGATGTCCTGCACTACATATGGTCCCTGAGGAATCATCAAGAGTGACTCCTGAGCAGAGACAGAGGAAGCTGGGAGCCACACCAGATGTGGCCCAAATCAA